GAGGTATGCCGTAATGCGGGTGCGGGATCATCTGACTATATATACCGTTGTATGACGAACCATTCTATCGAATAGTTTGGCATAGACCTTTTAGTCTAATAGTAATACCATGTGAGCAACGGCACGGGTGATTCCATAGTCTTCTCTAAAGTTAATATCCGCAAGGCTTACTACTATATTAGTATTAAGGAAGATAATAAGTAGAAAATAGCCTTCTATATCTAATATAGCTATTTCGAATATATAGTAATACTATTTAGACTTATAAATATATCTACTATATTCTAAAATTATATCTATATTATATTATAAGAATACTTAGATATCTTCTATATAGCCTACTTAGATAATATCCTAATCTTTTCTTCCGACTAGGATTCCTATATAAAATATATCTATCTTATCCTAGAAAGACTTTATTAGTATAAACTTTATATCTACCTATTAAAATATATATTCTATTAGGAATATATAGAATTCCTAGGCTATATAGTAAGTTCTATAGAAGTAATAATAGATAAATCTAGAGTAGAAGCTATCCGAAAATAGTCCTAACTAACTATTATCTATAAGATCTAATCCTTCCTTAGATTTTATAACTTCTATTAATACTTTATCTATAACTACTCTAGTATTATAAAATCTCTTACCGATCTTACGAAAGAGATAATAAATAGCTAATAACTAGGAACTTTTAAACTTAAAGCCTATAAAGTAGCTATATTCCGCTAACTAATTTAAGCCTTTAAAATAGTATTAGTTCTCCGATATTTCGACCCTAACTAGAAAATTAAACTCGAGATAGATATCTCTTAGTAGGAAATAGCTAGTATCCTATTATAACTAGATAATAAGGGGATCTAGTATCTAGTATAGTAGGGAATCCGGTTATATATATATAGAGTAGATAGTCTATTAAGGTATATATACCTAATAGTAGCCTTACGGTCGGGAGAGGCTATTTAGATATAAGGAGAGGGAGTTAATTAACTTAGTAACTATACGGATAACTATATAGATACGAAGGATATAATATAACCATCGGATTAAATAGCTTTAAGGGAGTTTAGTATAGTCTTTATAGTCGGATTCCTTTATATTATAATAATATACTCTTTTTAATCTTCCTCTTTACCTCCTAATATCCTATAGATAGGTATTATATAGTCGGGCTAGGAGATCTCTAGATATATATACTAGTAGTTATAGTTTAGTTCCTCTATAACTCGACCTATCTAGTAAGATTAGACTATCTTAAGTATTCTCCTCTATATTAGTAACTAATATAGGGGCTTTATAAAAAGATAGCTAAGATAGAGGACTATATTATTCCTATAGTATAATTATAAGAGGATCTAATAATAAGATTAATACTACTAATATTCCTACTATTATAATAACTATAACTATAACTATAACTATAACTATAACTATAACTATAACTATAACTATTACTATAACTAAAATTTTACGGATTTACTATAAAAAGTAGGTAATACGTTTAACCCTAATAGAATTTAGAAAAATAGCTAAATATATAACTTTTAGCTATATATAAGGGGCTATACCCTCGGAGGATCTTACTACTAAGAGAATATCTTTATTCGACCGATATATCTATCTAGTTCGCGGGTTATTAGCTAATCGATACTAAGAGGATTAGAAGATACTAATTTAACTACTAAAAATAACTCTAGACTAATTATATAAGATAATATCCTCGGTATACCTAAACTTTATATAGAATTAGTATATTACTTTAGAATAACTACTATAGGCTACGACTACGAAGACGCTACTAGATAAGAATACTACTTTAAGATATAAGCTATAGATTTCTTTTATAGAAGAAATCTCTACCTAAGAAGTAAAAGTTAAAAGAAAAATAGAAATCGAAGAAAGAGAAAAAAAGAATTAGTAAGAATTAAGAGTTATACTATTATCTAGATTAAGTACTAATTTTATAACTCCTTTAAACTTAAAGAATTAATTACCTTATAAATATTACGAATCCTACGATATATCTCTAGATCCTATTATAACTAAAAAGCCCTAAAAATATTAATATCCGAATTTAATAGAACCTATAAAGCTAAAGTAATAACCGAAATCGAAATCTAAAACTAAATCTAAACCGCCGAAAGAATCTAAAATATCTACGAATATACCTATAAATATAATACCTATAAATATAACTTTATTTAAAGTCTATTATAATCCCGGTAATTAAGCTTCCTCGGAGTCTATAGAAGGTTCGCGTAAAGTATTTAGTAAAAGAATTATACTACCGCTACTACTATCTCCTTCTAGACTAGTATCTTTACTAATACCGATACCGATCTAAGTCTATAGCCTAGAATTAGAGATATAAATACTAAGATATATTATTAGGACTATATCTAAATCTAGAACTCCTAGAGCGCTATAATTCGAAGGAAGAAATATCTCTAAATTTTTAGATAATTTTAAATAGATATATAAGTACTATAATATAAGGGATAATATAAGGATTCTAGATATCCTTCTAGATTACTATAGATAGCTTTAATATATCTAGATAGAAGAAAGTCTTAACTAGTAGATAAAGGATAAGGAAGTATTCTTTAAGGATTTTAAAGAGTAGTACTAAGATATAGATAGCCTATAGGCTATCTATATCTAGTCTTAGCTATAAAGATTCTATAGAAACTATATCGAGTAGGATAATTTCTATATATACTTAACTACTTTTTTATCTATATTATTATATCTAGTAAAAAGAGGAAATATTAGTAAACTAGAGTAGTATACTTAGTTTATCGAAGAACTACTAGAGAAGCTATAATCGAAGTTAATTAAGAAAGAGAAGATTAATATTAATTATCCTTCGAAAAGTAAGAGATAGATCTCTTTTAGCTAGATTAAAAAAGTAGCTAGGGATCTTAACTAAGATTAAAAGGATTATAATCTTATAATAGGCTATATTATATCTAATAAAAGAATTTAAGTCTATACTAATACTAATATAAATTCGAAATCTAGTAAAAGATCTTCTAAAAAGCTAGCGATAATAGATACTCTATAAATTAGTAATCTTCTAGTTAGAAATATAAGTCTTCGAGGAGGATAGGATTTAGAAAGTTTAATAAATACTTTTAATAGTCTTTCGGTAAATATACTAAAAGTAATAGAGAACTAGCGGAAAGCTACTAATAAATAGTAAGCTCTAGTTTAGTATCTCCTTATAAAAAATAATAGCTAGAATAATCCTACTTATATATCTACTAGATAGTTATAAGATAGATATTTCTAGTATAGGAATAGAGATTACTAAGTCTAAGAATATCCTATCTTTCTAAGTATATAAAGTAAAGGTTTATATTATCGAAATAAGATAAATCGAGTAAAAATTAGTAGAACTAGTAAAAATAATCTAGATATATATAAAAGAGATAACTAATTTTAGAAAGATATAGTTCTAGACTAATACTAATAGTAGAAGAACTAACGTATAAATATTAATATAGTCTTAGCTATTATCCTATCTTAAATCCCTTCTAATATCTACTCTTACTATATACTATAAATCTATAATATACTAGTAGATTTTATAGGTATCTTACTAGGAAAAGATATAGATTTTAAAGAATTAGAAGAAAGTAAGAATAAAGCCTATTAAGAAGAAGTTTTTACTATTAATAGTTAACTAGCTAGTTATAAGCGCCTAAATCCGACTAGAGATTATATAAAAGTATATAGTATATAATCTAGTAGATATTATCTAGTAATAGTTAATAATAATAATATAATAGTAGATATAGGAGCGATCTTTTCCTAAGTTTCTTCTATAGAAGAAATCCGCGATCGCGAATAGGAATACTAACTAGTTAATTAGATAGTTTCTTCTATAGAAGAAATCTAAAGCTAGGATAGTTAGACCTAAAAGAATAGTTAAGATATAAGATCTTCGATATCTATCTACTAGTCTAGTCCTAGAAATTTAGTAATAATTTAGAAATATCCTAAACCTTCTATAGATACCACTACTTAATATAAGAAAGAAATTACTAGAAAATTACTAGCTATTCCTATACCGCCTATAATTACTATAGAAGATTTAATATTTATATTACTATAATTACGTAGTTAAGTTAGAAATTTTACGAATTCCTTTAAACCTTCGGTACCTATAACTATAATAAATTCTACTACGGCTATATACTTCGCTAGTACTTAGTAGGTTATAAAGATAGATAAAGTAAACGCGCGAGTACTAGATCTTAGGAAATCGGTAAGAGTTATAGCGCTACGAAATTTAGGTATAGCTAAGGAGTATACTAGAGGACTATTACGTATAAAGATATATATATAAGGCTATAAATTAGAAGCTATAATTAATTAGGGATTATTAGTTAATCTTATTTTCTTAGAAACTACTTAAATATTAGATCTTAGTATTCGAAAAGATCTAAAGCTTTATATAGTACCTATTAATAGTAGAATATATCTATTTTATAGAGTAACAGAGGATCTACCTATATTAATCGGTAATATTACTACGTATTCTTACTATATAATTATAAAAGACTATATAGCTAAACTTCTTCTTAGATAAATCTAGCTATATAATATAATAGCCTCTACTACGCAGAAAGCTAATAGATCTATTAAGATAGCTATCTTTTTAGAAGATTAAATACGAAAACTAATATTTAAAGCCTACTCTCTAAGCGAGAAGACTTTAGTCTAGAAGTATTAGCTATAGCCTAAAGATTTCATAGAGTCTATAGATATAGAGATAAATTTTTTAGGATATTAGGAAGTATAATCGGTAATATTTCTAGAGTTAAAATACCGAAATTTCCCTATAACTTACTATATATCTGACGAGATGTAAGAGAAAGAACATTATCAGGATAGAAGGGAGGCAAACTAGATACAAGTGCTATCTCTGAATCTGCTGCATCTGTAACATAGCCGTCTCCGGGGTGGGAATCTTCGGGTGACTTTTCGAGACCTACTAGGGCTCTGGGCTGAATTTCCGAGTTCACATTTAGTATATCGGAAGAGTCCTGCAAAAATTCATAAGCATCTTCCAAAATAGACTTCATTTCTTCGTCCCCTAGATCGTCTTCAGCTATAAACGCGGGATTATGGTCACGCTCGGGGTCGGGATGAAAATTTTGGAGGCGCGAGCCATTTAACGGGTCTTCAAAAGAAGGATGATTGAGTCCAGTGGAGGCCGATTTCGATATATCGGTAGCGCTTCCCATATTTACGCAAGAGGAAAGATCTATAGGTAACGCTAAGGAGCATAGTAAGAGAAATTCGGGCTAGGCCGTCTTGCTTAGGGAAAACGTTACGGAGTGTTCGATACGTCTATTTACTAGGATAGGCGTTTCTGGCGGATTAGATTAGGGTATAGGATAGGAATAAGTAGGGTTAAGAATAGGGGTCTCTTCACGCGTAGGCAGAGATTCATTCCAAGATTTATTGTTGTCTGTATCTACTCCTGCAACCCCATCTATTTCTATTTCGTCTGACTCTACCGATATAGTACCTACAGGAATATCACAAGGTAAAGCAGTAGTCGATATACCGAGCTCCGACGATTTAGGGATATCTTTTAAGGACGATCTAGACGCTATTTAGCTAACTATACCCGAGGAAGGACCCTTATCAGAGAGAGATAAGCTAATATTTAAGACTTTAATACTAGGGACCGCCGTTTAGGGAAAGGCCTACTAATTATCTATACTAATATAACGTTATCTTCTAGTCCTATCCGTATTACCCTCCTTAATAAGGGAATTCTGTATAATCAGGTCTAACGTATTAGAGCTAGCAGCAGGATTCGAGGGTACTATGGACCTAACTCCCGCAGAAATTTCAACGCTAGCAGAGCCTTCACGTATAGCCGTATAATTAGTAACAGTATAGGTTACTAGAGTTTCTAGAAGTAAACTTATATTATCCTATTCTACTGCTTAGTATAATAGGAGCGCGAAGTCAAAATTATTCGGTATATGATTACTAGATTATATCGAAGTATCTATACCGTCGCCCCGGTTATCTAGGTTATCGAGAGGTTAACGAATTACACCGGGAGCTTACGATTACTTATCTAATAAATAGTAGATTCTCCGTCCGTCTATATCAGTCTCTGGTAGTAAGAGTAGATAGTCAGATCCTTCTTTAATACTAGGTAAGTACGGCGTCCTAGTTCGATCTAAATACGGCGTCGTAAACGGTAGGATCGGGCCCGAATCTCTTATACTAGCTTCGCAGTAACCTAGAATATTCCAGACTTATTAGCAGAATATCGTCTAGGAAAGCGAAGGCGTATCCTACTTATTTAATTAGAAGCAACCGACACCGTCGCTCTTTCCCGAAAGTAATCATCTCTAATAGCGACGTCATCGAGGCAAGGTGCAAACACCCGAACTCGCTCGTAGAGCTAGACGACCTCGTCACGAGAAAGGGCTAACAGTACATCGTGACAGAACGCAAAGACCTATAGGAACTACAGATATATTAGATACGCTCGTGGGAGCTTCGTCAACAAGCTTAGATACAACGTACTATATCATCTGTCTATCGAGAACGTAGGTATTCGAGAGATTCTCCATCCTATTTCTTCTGAACGGGCAGATAAGTAAAGTAGCAGCTTACGTTACAATCAAACTTACTTTAACCAAGAATACGACGCTAATCATTTCCACGTATAAGTTACCATAGAGGAATAGAGCTCAAGTATCTAAAGATAGTAGTAGGCGGTTGTTGTAGCTAAGGAGTTCGAAGGGCAAAGATAGTTACGCGGGCGACAGAGACCAAAGTAGCAGCCGATCGATAGTGGGCTAGCGTCATAATCCAGGATTTAGCCCCTCACCCCTTTTACTCACCCCTTAGTCAATATTCACCGGCTCAACGGCGGGAAAATCATTGTGATCCTAGATAATAGCGGCATTATGTCCAATCCCAGGTGATACGGTTAGAGGGAGCATCGTTAGGAAGATAAAAAGCAAGAAAGGGTACTAAGCATTTGATCTTGTTATTCAAGACGGCCGATCGAGGAACGGTGAGCAGAAGATAGTTTAAACAGTGAAAACGGTAAAAAAGAACATAAGGGGGCTTAACAACTCCCAGCCAAACTATATTAGTCAGCGTAGGTTAACAAACAAACTTGTCAAACTCAACCCGACTCTGCATAGTATTTGACTGAGGATCTTACGAAGGAAAAACCCCTTGAAGGTGAAAACACTCGACGTTGACTAGGAGAGGAGGAAGAAGGAAGCTAAGCTAGACTACTAAGGTTAGTAGTCCTAGGTAGTAAGAGGCATAGCCTATATATATACTGGGTAGTATAGTAGGTCTTACTATAAATACCCCCCTAGACCGCCAAACTCTTAAAGAAATCGCTAAAATCCATGCTGTTATACCTTATATACGTTCTCCTAAGTTAAAAACACCTTTTGTTAATAATTTCGAGATTACTTCGTAGGGAGCTATTATATCCCTAGAAGACTAATAAATCTCTCGTGGTGTATTTTAGTAAGTAGTTTAGTAAGACTATCTACTACCTACTCTACCGTAGGGATTTATTTAAATCTATAAACCCCTTTTATAACTTAATACCTAATATAGTAGAACTTTATATCGATATATTTAGTCCTCTAGTAAAATTTAGGATTCTCCGTAAGGTATATAGTATCTTAGTTATCCTTATAGATAAGTATTAGAAGCTTAAGGAGAAAGTCGAATTATAGCTCCCTTAGGAAAAGCTAAAGCTAGACTACTTCCTATATAGCTAGGGACGCTACGATATATTCGCTCTCTATTAACGAAAGTATAATATAGATCTACTTCTTCGAGACCTATAAGACTAGCCCTCCTCTAAGCTTAAATATAAAGCCGGAGGTTAATATAGTATTATTAGTATAATAGCCTACCTAGTCTATGTTAATATAGCTATAGAGAGGGTCTAAGTTCCGTCTATAATAGATTAAGAGACCTTTAGTACTATTAAGATAATAAAATATTCTCTTAAGAGCTATAAAGTACAATTTAGACGAATTATAAGAGTAGTATATAAGCTTCGTAACAGCGTATTAAATATTAGGTCTAGAGTTAACTATAAGCTATATTAGGGAACTAATCTTCTTACGGAACTCTAATACTTCCTCTATAGTAGTAGTCCCGCTATAAGATTATAAGACTTCCCGGTTAAAGAATAGTATAGGTATAAGATAGTAATCCTATAAGTTAAAATCCTCGAGGATTTTCTTAATATAAGTTCGCTAGCTCAAGAAGACTAAATCGTTATATTATATAATATTAATCGCTAAGAAACGCTTAGGAATCTTATTATTAGTAAGATTAAATATCCTAGTAAGTATCTACTTTAGCTATATAATATCCTTAACAGAAGGAGATATAACTAGATAGTTATTAATATAGATAAGGATATAGAGACGTCTTAAAGACGTTATATTTATAATAAGGTAGAATATATAATAATTAGCTTTAGATCTTATAAATCTAAGCGTAGTAAATATATTATATACTATATTATACTATTCCCTCGGACTCTACTTAAGCCTATATAAGGTCTTTATAAGTAGACCGTATTTCGAGGAACTATACTATTCGCGGATTCCTTTAGGAAGATTAATATAGATCTCCTCGGTTAATTTAGCGTTTAGGAAAGCAGATATAAAATTAATCGAATAATAGTACTATCCTAGATATTAGGGGGTCTGTATCGTAGGACAGAGAACCTGTTAGCTAGGCAGAGAGTCTAAGTCTATAGTTATGATTTTCAAAGACTAAATCTTAGGGTATAGTAGACTTCACTAGTTTATATAATATATATATAGGGGTTCCGTATACCGAGTCCCTATAGCCCTATACAGAGCCTTTAGGGTTGTTACCCTAAGGCGATATAGGGTCGATTCGATCGTGAATTATCCTAAGTTACCACGTATAACTACGCCGTAATAACTATTACCTCCTTCTATACTAGTCGTCCCGACTAGGGATATTCTTATCTAGGGGATACTATAGTCCGGACTTTATTGTGGTACTAAGGGAAGGAATCGTGGGTATATCGTATACGGAACGCTATATCCTTAAATTTAGGAGATATAGGTATAAATAAAGGATTACTATATTATATAGCCGTAATCTCCTACTACTATTAGCGATACTATTTAAAAGAAATCGCGGTAGGGTACTTAATCCCTATTTACCTAATTAATATCGGTCGGGGAGCTAGGAATCTATCCGCGATAGGGTATTTTGTTAACGATTCGTTCCCGAAGATTTATAGAATCGATTTTCCCTATAGATAAGGAGATTTTTAATTTTAATCTATTTCCCTTATTTAAGCTTAGTTCTAGAATACCCTATCGTTATCGGAATCGTCGTCGCTATAAGGCTACTAGCGGAATAGGCTATACGCCTCCTACGCTAAACTTCGTAACCGTAAGCCCTAATTTTCTCTAGTATCTAAAGTATTTCGGTAGGGCTAAGGTAGAGTATAACTATCTAGTTACGATAGTCCCTTTTACTATAGAGTATAAGTTTAATCGCTTAGGATTAGTACTCTATAATAGCTATAAGAGTAACTATAATATATACGAGACTATAAGTTTTCTACTCTTTTCCGAAATACTTCCGAATTACTAATAGATCGTAAGACTCTTATATTAATAATCTAGGATATATAGATATTCTATTTTCTTTTAAAGATTTACTAGGTAATCTTTAATAGTATCTAGGAGATTACTATAGCGCCTAGACTATTATATATTCCGGTTTAGCTAGTTAGTATTTATTCCGATCTATTCTAGATAAGTAAGGATCTTACTATAACTTTCTTAGGGGTTATATAGGCCTATAAGAAAGAGTATATATTCGAAGGTCCGAAGTATATATAAAAGATATAGATCGCCTATAATTCCTTAACGATTTATTCTAATAAATTCTCTTTATAGAGGTACTATTATTTCTATTTAGAAAAGATAGCGTTATATCGCTAGAACCTAATTATAGCTTTCGGTTCTTCCTTAATATATATAGACTAGTATCTCGGTCTTAAAGAAGGAGATACTAGGTTTATATTATAGTAGACTAGGCTAGTTAACTTTACCGAGTACTTAGAGACTATAATAACTATAAATAGTATACTTAGGATAGAAGCGACTATAATAAAGAATATAGTATTAGAGTTTATAGAGTATTTCTAAGATAAATTATAGTAGGTTCGGTCTAG